TCCTTACGGTGTGCTTCCAAAACTAAATCAAACCGTCGATAGACAGCGAGCTTGTCCAGTGATAATTCAAATAATTTATTTATAGAACCCGCAATCGTAGCCCATGCGTCGCCCGGTTTTACTGAGGAGAATGGGGTGTGCGCCAAAACAGCCTTAACTAGGGCAAGGTCATGATTCAATTTCCATCTAAATTGTTTCTTCCTCTGCTTTCTCCCATCAGCAACAGCAGCGTCTGCGTCGTCTCGTTTTCGCTCTTCTTCCTGCTAACGATTTAATAATTGAATATTTAAATAGGGTTGAATTAAATAAATAACCATTAGCAAGTACCTCTGAAAGTAATTGTTCCATATTCTGCACTTCCAATGAATCGTTACAACTCAAATATAAAGAGAGCAATGAGAAATATTTTGACCAATTTTTTTCACTTATTATTTTTTTCGGGAAACAGTGATTTTTGGATGACTGTTTAGAAACGCATACAATACAATGCTGGTTGGAGACGGAGATTTGTATTTTTGTGTTTGACTAAAATTCTGACTAATATTTGATTTTCCCGCTGGGTTTACAATCGCAAAGTACAATCATGTACTCTCGCTCAACGTCTCTAATAAAACTCCTACTCAAGGGAGAAAGTTTCCATTCAGGGGGACGTCCATATGCTACGTCATGAGTGAACAATGGTAGGTGTGTGGTTTTGGGTCGGCTATATATCATTCGTGTTAATCGAACGTCCATATATTATGTCATCGTTTTAGTGGGTGGGTGATTTAAGTCTTCCTATCTTTCCAATGTTAAAATTACCTATCCCGTAATGTAGACGTTGAGTGGGTGGGTGCTAAAATCGAGAATTTTTGATGACGCTATATGTGGACGTTCCCTAAGGTTAATATGAATAGGATGCAGGAGAAATGCGTGACGGCTCTAAAAATTGGCGTTTTTTTATGACATGTGAACTCGGTAACGTGTTCTTGGTCTGGGGCACAACACGACTGACGGGAAATTATTTTTAACGTGATTAATAATCGCTGATTATTGGCCGGCTATTTTCCTTGATATTGCATAATAAAAATCTTTAAATGAAGGAAAATTTCCCGCTCACAAAATTTTCCGTGAGTACGATGTCGAACATTTATATATGCACTTAAGTATATACATAAATCCCAGTATAATATTTATATTTATTAATCAAGCTTGCTTCTTTACAAAGCTCGTTATGCCTGACATATTCGCATTTCACAGCACATAAGTTTGGTGTATAATTGTCAAATAATTGTAGAAGTTTGATAATATTTATACAATCAGGAATTATTATAGTTTAGTGTCATATATAGGTTTTGGAATTATGTACAACGAGTATAATTAAAATGTATTCGCACCTTTAATTAAAATATGATTTATTAGTTTTGCTCTGAAAGTCTTCTTATCCGTACAATTTCTTCAAATAATATGTCATATATTAAATGATATATGACATTGTGTAGTAGTTTATTGAAACACAAGCTTCCGGAAAACAACTGTTTCCTTCTTCAGGTGGTCAGAAATAATTACAATAATTATTTACACTTGACTCGTATTTATTTCCAATACTAAAATACTCCAATAATTCATAATAAACATTCGATTTTGACATTTACTTTTTTATTTCATCAACACTATTAGACAGAATCTTTCGGATTTTAGTTAGCATTTCAATCCCCACGATATCACTTCCATAATTGGCAAGATCACCCAAAATATTGGCACCTTGTCCTTTACAATCTTCTTCCATGTCGGGATACACGATTGCCGTAATTCTTGCTTCCAATCTTGTCCCGAATGGAACCCAAAATTTGGGAAGAATTTGAGATTCATCGACATCCTCGCCGTCAGTGTACCACTCGTCTTCATCAAAATTTTCCAGCCGTGCGAGCACATTTACCAGGACGCCGTACTTCTTCGGCTTACCCAAAATTCCTTTAACGTTTGCCCCAATTGTCTCCGCGTCTCGGAAGAAACGGAGTAAAAACAGGGTTTCCTCTTCACGGGGCCAGTTGTCCAACAATCAGTGCCTAAACTAGGCCACCTACGAGGGTGGGCAAACTTATTGATGCGCCCCAAGCCGCAATCTTTTAATAGCACGAAAAAAAAAAAGATATACAAAAATTGACATCTGGAAATGAAAACCTTTTTTGAAATTCAAATTTTAAGAATCATAAAACGTGTAATAGGCTTTTACGTGGCGCATGTACAAAAAAATCTAAATCTTAAATGGCAGCAATTAAGTGTCGTAATCCAGTTAATTGAACATTTAAAAAAGAAAAGTTTTCTAATCTTGATGAAACTTCAAATTTATGCGCAAAATATTATTTATTTGTTTTTAAAATTTTTAAAATTGTAATCCCAAAAATGGGTTTGCGGGCGTACGGAATTACGCCACTGGATGAGGTGAGCTGTCTCAACTATCCGATGGCTTTGAGTTTGACAGAGTATGTTTTTGGAAAAAATTTAGCCCACTGTGCTTGTTATTTCAAGGACCAACTTTGTTATAGTCAAAAAATGTCAAGACTTTCACCGGAAACTAATGGCCCATGCCTTCATACAATTGCAGAACAAGCTTTGCAAATTATTTTTCTTCAAAAAGAAGGATACGTTGCAAGAACCCAAGCTGCACAGCAGGGACATCATGCTTAAGCACAAATAGTCTGATAAGTGTCAAGGTTTTTTGTCATGCAGAAAGAAATGCATGAAATGCTTCTAATGCATTTGAGGTTGACTAAATAAAAATCGAAATGTTTATAAAGTTTTTTAAGTTTCAGATTTGAAGGTGATTCTACGTGTATTTATATGGAAAATGGAAAAATCAAGTAATAATCTTTATTATGAACAAAGAAGTACTTTATCCTGGTGAAAAGAAATATTTATAAGAAAATATTAATGATGGTCGGATGTATGGGTAGTATCAAATTATTATGATACGATTCGGTATCATATTATTATTAAATTATGAATATTGCCATTCCCATTTTTTGAATTCATTAATTTTTTGAAATCATGCTCATAATTGTTATGCTGCATCATTAATATTGAAAGTTGTAATTGTCAGGTCCTTATTTTCTGCTACCACCCAAATTTTCAATTATATATAGTGCTTAGCGGGGCGCCTACCGGCGCCCCCTAACCTTCTGGCGCCCCGGGCAATTGCCCTGCTTGCCCACCCCCAGTTTAGGGCCTGCCAACAATTTGGTGCAGCAATAAAGGTCCGTGACAAGTCGAACCCACATCATCCCCATTCCGATTTTACTACTAAAGCTGAGCGTCCTCTCAATAAACGTGCCCAGCTTCGATTTCATAAATTGGAAGAGATTGTACTTCAAAACTTCCGAAACTTGAAAGAAGTTGAGCATCACGAATAATTCTTTCTGGTCCATAAATTTACCTGCGCTGTACAACACGCAAAACTTCTTAAGAACGGATTCGAAAGTGAATTGGAGAGGAGGATATTCCTTGTTGGTCCAAAAACTGGGGAGGAGTTTGAAGTTATGTACACTCAAAACAAAACGGTGTCAATATATGACTATGATTTAACCGTCTTGGTTACAATTGTGATTCCGAGTAGTAATGCATTTTTTCCGTCCGGTCATAACATTATAACTACCGGTATCAAAATCATCATAACTCGGATTCAACATTGTAACCTAGGCGGTTAAGTCATATATTGACACCGGCGGTGTTGATTCGACAAATTTTTATTTTGAGTGTACGATTAAAAAAGAGAAAACCCTGTCGTTCAAGACACTCGCGGTGGCGGTAGATTTGAATAAGCATGGAAGCAAGGAAGTCTTTTACAAGGTCAACGGACAATTGATGTCGGTCTCTATCAGGGATCGAGGGGCGGCAAAGGTTAGATTTTTCATTTTCAGTTTAAGTAATGAATTTTATAATATTTTTCTCTAGGAGCATACATACTTTCCATCCGAATGCAGAGAAAGGAATCTAAGGTCAAGTCGGAGCACCGATTCCGGGGTCAGTGATCGAGCTGAAGGTCGCTGAAGGTGAAAAAGTCCCGCACTCGTCGTTCTTTCCGCAATGAAGATGGAAATGATCGTACAGGCTCCGATGGACGGCGTCGTGTCAAAAATTCATGTCACAAAGGATATGAAATTGGAATGCGGAAGATTTGATCATCACAATTGTATAGATATGTTCTTACGTATGTATTTATACACATTTAAAGGTAACGTAACAATAGGTAGCGTAACATATTTGTATTTAGTATTGGCCATTGGCTAGAAAATTAATAAAAATACGTACATATATGTAATCACAAGTTATACTAACTGATGGGATACAGACTAAATATGTGTACCTCTTTTTGTATTCAACCCCTACATAAATACATATGTAGATTCGATCGATACATTGCATATGGGACACTTTTCTACTCAAGATCATCCGAAGCATGAATCTTTAAATACGTATTTGTAGCTCTACATAATTATCACAGATAATTTTGTAGATTACGGTAGTATGCTTACAATCTGTATCATATACATATGTAAATACGGTCCGGTTGCCTCAAAAAGTTAAGAACTTAATCAAATATGCACATATGTATGTAAATACATGCACAAATACATGAATAAGTTAAGATTGGATGAATCATGTAACGGGAAACGTGGTAACATATTTAATGCATATATACATACTTATACATGCATATGTATACATGCATATGTATTGTGTAGTGTAATGGATAATGGTACTTGTACATACACATGCATAATGAAAATAAGATGCAGTTTTTTTTATCCAGTTACTATACCAGTGGTGGGGAACAGGTTATACGTCAAGGTGACTATGATTCACCAATTTCTGCGTTTCAATAGGACGATCATGCCACAATTGCACCACTGCATCGTGCCAGTTTCATCCAATGTCAACTTCAAGTATGGTTTTGCAATGTTTGCATCACGCTTTCACCGCCTGCAAAGTTGTTCTTGGTCGTTACCATGCAAAAACCCAGTACTTGCTCCTCAGTTCGACTTGTGGAGCGTGTGCAGCACAAATTAAATTATCAATCACGCTTGCACTTTTACAAACTCAGCAGTAAGTGTTAAAAATTTGTATATCCAAGAACTGTACATAGTTTGGATTTTCATGGTTGTTAGCTATTCATATTTTTGCAAAATTAAGACGCAACTTTCATGTTAGGAAAATTTTTGCATAATTTGATTTTGCAAACTTTGTACGTTCACCAATTCATTTAATTGTGGGGCTCACTTTCATCAAATATAATTATTTATCCTTAAAATTTGCATAGGTCAAAATGTCTAGAAAAGCTGGATTGACGCTGCTCTCGTCTCCAAGTCTCAAAATGATACGAAATTCAATTCAAATCACTGGAGCAAATCTCCAACCAATTAGAACCTTAACATCCATGACGCACCTGTCTCCTCGGGTGTCATTTATGTCGAATGGTAACACCACCGGGCTTCTCTCAAATCGACCTTCCCTCACAAAATATCGCAGCGAGGGACGACCCCTCACAATAATCCTCCCATGGTTCATGGCCAAAAAGAAAGCGGTGGAAAAATATGCAAAAGTCTACTTGGACAAAGGTGCGTAAGTATGCATAGGGTTGGTCCCATCCGATCCGATAATATCAGATCCGTCGGATCGGATCGGATATTTTTATCCGACCATTTGCTACAACATGGTCGGATAGTATCCGATCCGATCCGACGGATCGAATTGGGCCGGATCGGATACATGTTATAGTAAGTGGTCGAATAATTCGGATAATCCGATCGGATCGGATCGGATGACCAACCCTAAGTATGCAAGTGCATGCAAATTTTAAATTTTCACGAGTAAAATTTCTCATGATCCAAAGTTTAACAATTGTTTTAATTAAATCCCCTCGATTTACAGGATTCGACGTGCTAACAATCGGCATGAGCGGGGCACACCTCTTTCTCCCCTCGCTTTACGAACCAATCATAACGAGGGAAATCCTGGCAACTTTATTGAGCTCAGATCACGATGAAAAAATTGTCCACTCCTTTTCCGCCGGGGGATTCGTCTTTACCCGAATCCAGAAGCATGCTGAGTTATCTCCTCATGGGGAGAAGTTTCTAGGGACGATCAAATCCCAAATTTACGACAGTATGGCGGATATCAGCTCATTAAAGATAGGAAGTAGCAAAACCATCTTTGTAACAAGTCCACTACTTCAAAAAGTGTTTTCCAACTATGTGGATCTACATTTGAAAGTTTTTTCCGGCTCGACGAAAATTCTTTTGGAGTCGATAGACATTTTCTATAATAAACCCGTCACGCATGCGCCAGCTTTATTTTTGTCGTCGGAACTTGACCCAATCAGCCCTCCAAGTATGCACAGAGGGATGATCGACTGTTGGAGGGGACAAGGGATAACTTGTGAGCATAAAGTTTGGAACGACACGCCACACGTTGGACATATGAAAGTATATCCGGAAGAGTACAAAGAGCTCGTGTGGAAACACTTGAAACGGAGTGGGATTAATGTTGCGGAAAAGGATGTGATTCGCAGAAGGGAAGAAATTGTGATGAATGATGGTGAAAATATTACCAGGAGGGGGGATAATAATCGAGTGCCAAATATTGTACAGTACAAAACGTTGTAAAATTGGATGGAATATATAATAATAACGTAATAACAAAATAATATAATAATAATATAATAATAATATAATAATAATAATATAATATGTTGTTAAATACAATTGAGCAACAAATTTATTTGTGATTAAGCGTGAAAAGGCTCTGACAAAATGACCTGGAATGACTAAGCTACAATAAATATTTAATACGTATTTAAATAAAATATTTTTATACATGTGACAAACATTTTATCGAATCATCGTCTTTAAATGTGGGTGGTTATTTGGGAGTGGTTGTAAACGAAAAATAATTTTGTGTTGAATTAAAATTTTTGAATTTTCACGCCATTCGAAACTTAACTTTCTCCCCTTTCACTTCCGTCGCGGAAAATTAGTTTCACTTCCGTTCCAGACAAACATTTCAAGCTTATAATATAGTAAAATATAGTAAAATAGCAATTCATCAGTGTTTCTTTTCGTGGGCACAATATTATTTTTCTTGTATACGTATGTACATAAATGCACTCATAGTGCATATACATATGATCAAGTACATGTACATGATCAAATACATATAATCAAATCTTATAAGACTGCATGTATGTAAATGCATAAAAACCCAATACAAATTAATAAAAATGCATATAAATGAATGAAATGCAATTCATTGTAGGAATTTTCATTTTTTAATGAAATCTCATATTTTTCTAAACTCATAATAAATTTGTCTAAACTTCACGTTAGATTTAGTAAAAAAAGAGGATGATACAACAGTATACATATGTATATACATAGTAGGGTGATTAATGCTGCTAATTAAACTTAAGTACAGTATAGTGTTTCTTCCACAAAGAAATGCTGACATTAAGTGTTCAAGAGTATGGATGGAAAGGCCACGCTTTTAAGTCATGTTTTCTGTAAATAATGCTTTCATTATGTATAAATTATGAGGTTGTTTATTAACCAAAAGTAGATAAATTTTCTGCATCGGTGTGCATTTACAACTCTTATAAATTCATTCTGGCCAATTTTCAATAAATTAATGTGTGTTTCATTCATATTTTCTGCAAATGCATGCGCTTTTAGCACAAGATCTCTATGTTTATAACCATAAACAACCCGCTTATTTTGCAAGTAAGCATTTCATCATTTCTTACCGAATGATACTGTCCGATCAAATTAATTGATTGGTTGGAATCGTATTTATGTACAATCGTATGATGCATTACATACTTGGGTGGGTATAAATACAAGGCGCAGAGTAATTCGCTTTCATCATTCTTGGAGATTTACATGGTTGACTATCTAATTAAAACCCAGTTGTACATATATATTTACATTTCTTCGAAGAATTAAACGTCTCGGAAACATGGAACTGTCTGTAGGGTTAAGTGGGACCTTAATTTTACTGGGTATGGTCTACTTCATAATTGTTACTTTTTTAGCGTGACGAAAATTACACATTTGAGATCAATTAGGGGTATTAACTGCGAGCTCGCATATTCGCAGTACAGCATAAGTTGTTGTAGTTGCCAGCTGAACACCAGAGTGACCAAGTTCGCTCAGGAATTTGCAAGGCAAAACTTGTTGCCAACTTGCGAACTTTTTTTACAAACGTTGACCCCCCCCCCCCCACCGAATTATTTATTGCGAGTTTTTGTTATGCTTTTATGTTTAAATTGTTTCATTGATCCTGCCGTATTTAACAAATTAAGCACAATATTGTCGAATTTATTTCAGTTTTTGCCAGCCAGGCAGTCACTGCAGCCCCCAACGAAATGGGAACGACTCAAATCCATTCGTTGTCAGGAAGCCTCCAACTTCCTGAGTTTCTCGCGACACCGATTTCATTTTTATACAAAATTAAAGTTACTCCCACTGGATCGAACCAGACTAATTTGCAGGTATGTATGTATGTAAATATCTGATATCATACAAGTAAGAAACTGCATGGTATCATGATGCAGGATACCATGCAGTTTCTCTTAAGTGAAAGTTGAGAACACACATTAAAATAGGGTGGTAGCTGGTTGAAAATTAGAGTTTTCTAATTTTAAGGCAAGAATGTAGGCGAAATTTTATCAACGGTATTTATGCCCGTTAGCTTTTAACGAAATGAAATGCACTGTTTCTGCCGCAAGAAAACACCTGCACGTAAATTACATAAAAAAAATCTTTTAATACTTAACACCCATCAATAGTGCACGAAAATGCAAAAACAAAATAGTAAAAACATGTAACATAATAATATTGCAATTTTTCTCAATAAGTATTTGAAAAATTAAGAATTAATAATTGAACAATTATTAATTTTACTTGAATAACTATGGTATGGAATTGGAAGAGGTCGCAAATGTCGTAAAAATTGTGAAGTATGTTAAAGGCGTCCCTATAAATCCATCCAAAATTTTGCTATCTTTTTACTAACCCGTTTGTACCTTTCCTGCTCAAATTTTTGCAACCTACATACATTTTTAACCAAAATATTTGCAGACAAACTCAATCCCTGGAAACATATCGGCGACCATACGCCCAAATAAGTTCGCATCCACCTTGCTTGCATCCACATACTTTTTGAGCTATTTTCCACGCCGGACTTTGGGAAACATTCAGTAAGTTTTTCACTAAATAATTCTGCAACTAAAAATAGAAACATAAATTCCAAACTTAATTTTTTTGTTTCATGTAAATTATTTGCCACACACCTCTCATTTTTTTGTTTCACTTTGTTTTGAACGGAGCATAGTTTATATTACTAAAACAAAATTTAGTCACGTTTCTCCACGTTACAATCATGTAAAAATCCATAAAATAATTTACAGCGACAAGTCCAGCAGAAATTAAAATACCTGGACGACACACGAAATGAACAAACCTTAATGTCGGGCCATGTCGAAAGTCTTACTTTGCCCCATGCCACTGAAATCTCACCCCACCCCGAAAACCCTGTCATCCCATCGCTTCGCCTCGAGCCCCAATATGTCCCACGATGGGCGGAAGATGTAGACGCCACAGTTACGAGAATCATCGCTGAGCAATTTAATGTCGACGTTGGTGAAGTTAAGGACAACACGTACCTGGCGGACGACCTGGGCGCCGATTCTATCGAGCTTGGCACACTTGCAGTGAAGGTTTCGGACCAGAATGATTGCAACGTTTCGGAACAAGCCGCCAAAGATTTCATATTGGTTCTTGACGTGATCAATTATGTGAAAAGGAATTGTTTCAAACCGCTATCCTAATGGAATTCGGTTGCCAAGATATTGTAGTGCCGTGCTTAGTCATGCTTTTTTAATAAATTTTGTTTTAATTATTTACCGTGAATGAAAAAATAAATAAATTGGATGATACGCCTCGGTAAATGATTGAAACACCTGCCAGTTTTTCACTATTAAAGTTGTTATGATTTGATGTTAAAATTATTTATACCGGCCCATAAAAATTTGCTACCGAAATAGTAAAGCCTTAATACCGATCTAATACTACGCGTTATTACTTATCAATACCACAACAGTATAAATGTATAAATAGTCATACATAAATGAACATAGCATGGTATTATTTTAATCCTGGATTTCTAAGAATGTAGAATGTCCATCCACGCGGATTGTAAAACAGCCCCAAAAAGCTTCCTCTGGCTCTGTTTGATTCTCTCATTAAAAACAACACGATTGACCCGCCACACCCCACCGCCCACACGGCAAATCCTGGGATCAAATTTGCAAACGTAATTTGCGAATCCTCCCCACGAATCGAGTAATACGCCACTTTCGAAAATGTGACTCCAAAACTGTACCAATCCCGCCAAACTAGGAAAAATCCGGTTTCCCTCAACCTCTCCGAAATTTTAGCCAGTTGGCTAAAATACCCCGGAGGAAATTCATCCACCCAAATTTTTTTAGTTCCCAGATGCTTCCCGGTATAGCAATCCCGTCGCCAATGAAGTAGTACCATTTGAATTATGTGAATTATCGCCGGTCCAAGGCCCGATTCGACGTGTTGAGCAAACTTTTCTTGTCCGATGGCCTCCCATGAAATACCCCTCGTAGCAATGGTTCTATTAAAGCTGGATGAGACGTTTTCAAGTCGGAAATCATGTTCCACATGTGCCCTGAATTCACCTCCCGAAGTTATCACGAGTTTGTACCCGTTTTCCACAAATTCCCGATACGTCGAAAACACGACACTTTTCGCAGGAACGGTCAAATTTGCGGTGAAGTAATTTTCATAATTAGATTGCAAACATAGCATGGCAAACAGCAGGGCGAGATATAGTCCCTTGTCGGCTTGTTGAACTGAATCTGAAGACTGTCTTAGAAAAATGTACGTAACGCCCCAAACCCTGTCGGAAACGGGTAGACCCTTGTGTTGCGATAGGGTGGACACCCTCTGTATAATGAATAAAACTATAATTGCAATAAATACAATTAGCAGGCCGACATAGACGTCCCCCTCGTACGGAGAGGTCCACGGAATAAGCGCCATGTCGGTCGAACTGTCGTAAAAGTCGCAGTAAATGAAGTCCAGATTGGCAAATTCTATGTTTGCGAATTTGTTAAAGCCATCACGGAGTCGGGCCCGGTTGAGGATTATATTTCCGAAGGACTTGGCCCCTTTGGATTTCGCGGTGGTGAACGTAATGTTCACCATGTGACTCAACGTGTCCAAGTATCTGTCCCTCCAGTGGCAGGCAAACTGGAAAGACGCCGCCATTGAGGAGGAACAGCTAATGTTGTAGCGGGACTGAATTTTTTGCGCAAAACGTTTCACCCGGAAGGAAATGGGGGCCCAGGATTTCTTAAAAGTATGAAGTGACACTGGAAATTTTTCGGGGGGTAGGAAATCAATCGGGACACCGGGAAAAGTGCAGTAACTGCAGTGGTATAAGGTGTGAAACGTATAGGTGTCGGCACGTTTTACGGCTAAAGTGAAGAACAGGTTGGTCGGCATCATCCCGGCCTTCGGAATTAGGTCGGAAGTTGTGAATATGAATTTGGCGGGCGAAGAGTAGGTTTGAATAAAGGCGGCAAAATTTTGACCGTGATAATACTCGCGGTTTCTTTCAAAGTATTGAATGAACTTGGAGATGTGGTTTGAGAAAATGAAATTTAGGGCACATCTTTCCCTTGCGTGGGAACGGAATGATGTTGTCAGGGGGGAGGTGATGTCCAAACTGGGGGGGAAATAGGTCGGGGAGAAGATCATGTAGGAATTGAGAGGCATTTTTGGTGTCTCGAAAAATGGGGAGATTTGTGCTTGGGTATCGAAGTATTTGATTCGTATGACGCAGGACAATATTTGTGGAGAAATAAGGTTTAATAGGGACAGAAGGGACGACATGATGGTAAGAAATAGGACACAATTATGTCCACTTCGTGGTTTTGTGTCGATAAGTTAGAAGCAAATGGCAGAAAAGGTAACAAGCAAAAGTGTTATGGCGGGATTTTGAGAAACAATTAGTTGTGACGAATTTCCTGTCGTGACAACGAACGATTGGTTCGTAAACGTCCATTTACATATGTGATCCACTCATAAATAGAGAAACAATATAACGATCAAATTTAGCATATGCCACTGGAACTCTTATTTTATCATTTAAATATTCTTATTAATTATCATTACAGGACCGCCATGCACACTTACATACATACGCTCATCCGGCATGTGCCTAGTTTCGCAGACGATTAAAATATGTTGGTGGCCTGAAATATGTATCTATTCTTATAAATACATATCAATTATTATTATTAATACTAAACCTACTCGTAATGAAGAAATGTTTGTAATTTAAAAACATTTAGAATTCACCTCATTTCCGACATTTGCGTTAAACAAAAGCTTGGTTTAGCTGCATGACTAGGTCGTTAGTATGTATGTATATAGTCAAAGATGAATAAATTAGCGTGTACACATATATTTTACTTTATAAGTTTCCTGTACACACACATATAGAGATTTATATATTTACGTAGGTGTTTTATTATTAATTTTCAAAAGGTATGTTCCGCACTGTTTCTGACCAAAATTTTGATGAAATAACAAACTTCAAATACATTTAGGAGGCTGTGATTTTTTTCAGCTCTGTGGGTTAACATAAACACTAGCAATAAATCGGCAAACTTTACCTCGACGGAAAAAATGCTAGATTTGCAAATTAAATATCGTAGTGTGATTTAATTTTTAATGCTGGATCGGCAATACGTGTCGCAGATTTATGGTCGAATCCTTAAAATTTACGATGAAGACTGCCCAACACAAAACACAAATTCAATTGGGTCAATAATTTTAAATGATGGCGAAACGAGGTCTCGGGCAAAAAGTCGCCAGGACGCTCAAAATCCGTTTCTTCCACAGAAAGGCTCCGGAAACTAGAGGAACAAATAATGAGAGATCCGCGATTGAAACTGTCCTATTTAGCAGATGAGATGGGTGTTTCAAAACCAGCAATTTGTTCCATGTTAACTGAAGACTTGGTTTCCGCTGATGGTTTCCGCCCGTTGGGTACCAAAATTGCTTTCAGCATCTCAAAAACAGGATCGAGTCGACTTTTGCAATGCCAATTTTAACCTATTAAATGAAGACCTGAACCTGCTCAATATTTTATTAGCTAAATATGGTACCTGAGTTTACTATTATGACCCGGTGACCAAATAATAATTCCCTCAATGGAAGCACGAGGGGTTGCCACCGCCCGTGAATTGAAAAGTGCAAAAATCTGACAAAAAAATGATGATGACCACTTTCAAGGATACCAAAGGTCCCCTCCTTATAAAATTTATTGCTGGTAATACTGCAATAAATGGGGCCGTGTATGCAGGAACCCCGAAGGAGCTGCGTCCTCTGGTTGAAAAGAAACGTGGGGTCAAAATAAAGAGTTGGCCTTTTTTTAGACGACAACGCGCCACCTCATACCTGGCTTTTTGCGAGGGTTAGTGCAGACGAAAATCGCTTTACCTGCACAAACCACACCCCGTGCAGTCCGGACTTGACCCTTAGTGATTATTATTCGTTTCGAAACTTAAAGAAAAACATCAGGGGAAAACGGTTTTCGGATGATAATGAAATCAAGTCGTAAATTTTGGCATATTTTCGAGGTAAATTTTAATGAGTTATTGCTAGTGTTAATGTTAACCTACAGAACTGAAAAAAATCACAGCATTCTAAAAGTATTTGAAGTTTGTTATTTCATCAAAAGTTTGGTCAGAAACAGTGTGGAACATACATTTTGAAAATTAATAATAAAACACCCACGTATTTGTGCTATGCATACATATACATCAATTCAGGAGTCTTACATAGGAGATATTGACCAATTCTTGGGCATTTCTATGAAACATTTACAACAAGCTAAGAATGTGTCGTAACCAGGATAAGTTATAATTTGTTGAAAGACATGGACCTATAATGTATTTACTTTTGTATGCAGTTATTTAGGATAAACATATGTAGGACATATACATATGCACCTTTTATCGGATAATTGTATATATTATACACACATAAGAAGACTAATCTCAAAGAGGACATATTCCCGTAGATATGCATACATATATGTATAAGTATCTGTATTTCATCCACAAAGAAAATGCTGAGTGTTCCACATTATTTATGCACAAGCCACGCTTTTAACCCGTGTTTTATATATGTAAATAATGCTTTCATTATGTATAAATTATAGGGTTGTTTATTAAACAGGGGTCGATAAGTTTTCTGCATCGGCATGCATTTGCAATTCCTCTTCTTATCAGTCCCCAGTAAATGAATCTTTCATGCATTTTCTGCAAATGCATACAATTTTCACACAAGCTGTAAACAGATATTTATATCCATTCATAAGCGAGGATCTTATTAAACAGATCAGTGTCATCATTTTTGACAGAAGAACATTGTCCGATCAATACGAACAAATTAATTAATGGGACAACGTGCCTAATTATGTATTTATGTAGATGGGTATAAATACAAGACGCAGAGCGGTCCGTCGTTCTTCATTCTTGGAGATTTACATTTGACAACTTAAACTCAGCCGTATACATAAATAAATATTTGTAAACCATCAAGATTTAAAGTTCTCGGAAACATGGAAATTTCTGTTGGGTTAATTGGTCCCTTAATTTTACTGGGTATGTATGGTCTATTCAGTTGTTTATTTTTCGACCAAACTCGATTGTAAAGTTTGTAAAATAATTCTACAAAATTTTGCAAAACGACCCCCTTAATCTGAATAAGTTCACGAAACTTTGTGAGGTACTTCTCGTTTACATTCATGTTTTTTAAAGTTTGAAAATTAATGAAATTGATAGACTTTACTGACAATGTTAAAAAGGACGGCGTATTTAAATTTCCTCATTATCTTGATTTTTGCGGAATATCAATCATTTTAAGTTCGAATTTTTGCATTAAATGTTTCCCTGTATTTAACAAATCAATTACATATGTAATTGTCCCGTTAATTAGAAATATATTTATTTCAGTTTTTGCCTGCCACGCGGTCACTGGAGCTCCAAACGAAATGGGAAAGATGGACGTCTACTCGGCGTCAGGAAGACTCCAACTTCCGGAAGTTCTCGTGGCCACACCAATTTCAGTTTCATACAAAGTCGAAGTCAATCCCACTGGATGGAGACAGCCTGCTCAGAAAGTATGTAAATATTTGATGTTGTGCATATAGATAATTTCTATTAAACGAAGGGGTAAATATCGCGCGCATATAAAAAATAAACTGTTGCGCATGACAAGCGAGTCTACACTCTTAGAAATCCAGTATTAAAATAATACCAAGCGGTATTCATATATGACTCTACAAAAATGGTATTGATAAGTAATACCGTGTAGTAATGGCTCGGTATGCAATGAAAGTTTTACCATGTCGGTGGCGAATTTTTACCGACCAGTATAATTGTGGTACCATGTGGTACTAACTTTACTACCGAGAAATCAATACCCCCGTGACTATACCTAACAGTCTACATAGGAAAACTTTGGCCAACTATTACTTACTTAAGTATCTTCTTGCACTTTCCAGTCTTAAATGTTTTCAACCCAAATATTTTCAGACGGGATAAATTTCCGGAAACATATCTGCCACCATGCATCCAAACAAATTAGGATTCACCTTCCTTCACATAATTCTTGAGCTGTTTTCCACCCTGGGACATTCAAGTGGGGCCGTTATTCCTGCAGAACGGGAAACACCAAAACATTTTACCAAGCATTCGGTAACTTGGTCTAAACAACTCAAATTCTATTTTGGATTCGGGGTATTCATTTCGAGTTAAAAATAATCAAACAAATTTCGTTAAAAACTTTGGCTTGCAGATTCATTTACGAACAAGAGTAGTATCTCATCTGCAAGAGTAGTATTAAGTAAAAAAATTACCTTAAAAAATTAAAACGTTAAAAAATTATTTGTATTTACATAATTGAATGAATACCCCTATTTCAAAAATAATTGAATTTTCCACCGCTACAAATTTATGATATGGAACAAATTAATATACAGGGAGTAGATGTGGATGACCCAATCTCATCCTTCCCCAAATCCGATATCAGCATATCGCTTCGAAAGCCGAAATCCGTTTCAGATGTAGCCTCAAAAGTTAAAAACATCATCGCCCAAAAACTTGGCGTCGACGTTGGACAAGTTACCGATAACGCGACCCTGGTTGAGGACTTGGGTGCAGATTCCCTTGAAATGCTCGAGATCGCAGTGGCGATTGAGCAAGAATTCGGGTGCGGCATGTCAGAGGACGATGTCCAGAAAATAAACAGGGTTATCGATTTGGTTAATTTTGTGAATAATCCTGGATGTATCTCACCGCCGTAATTTTTTAGAATCAGTTGGCATAAATTTTGGCGTGTGTTATAGGTTTGTGGGATTTTTTAAATTATGATTTTTTAAATTTTTCTTTGAATTTTTTGATTGAATTATTTTTATTTTGTCAAATAAAAGATTAATTGGATTGTGTCTATTACATAATTTATTTAAACAAATTGGAATAAAATTGTGAAAATTCTGATAAAGGGTCGTACTGATTGATACTTTAGGTGAATGGCGTCTTGGGTCTATATATATCTTTACAAATATTTTTCTTAAAAAAACACGGTTGAATTGTTGTTCGGAACATATTTACATATTATATAAATTATCACTTCACCCCAAAGTAAATATACTGCAAATTAAAAGAAAATAGTCGCGGATACTGGCTAAATATTTCTTCCACAGAGAAAATGCTGAGTGTTCCGCATTATTTATGAACAAGCCACGCTTTTAACCCGTGTTTTTCATATGTAAATAATGTTTTCATTATGAAAAATTATGGTGTTGTTTATTAAACAGAAGTCGGTAAGCTTTCGGCATCGGCATGCATTTGCAATTCCTCTTGTTATCAGTTCGCAGTAAGTAAATCTTTCATGCATTTTCTGCAAATACATACACTTTTGACACAAGCTGTAAACACGTATGTATTTATATCCATCGATAAGCGAGGTTCTTATTTAACAGATCGGTGTCATCATTTTTGACAGAAGGAGCATGTCCAATCAATACAAACAAATTAATTCATTTTTTAATATTGGACAATCTCGTGCAAATCATCATCGTCATATGACCTGAATATTTAGAATGCAAGAAAATATGTACTTCATACATATGTACGTATGTGGTTCTGAGATACATATTAAGAAATTCGTATAAAAAATACAAAATGTACAAAATATTTATTAAGTAATTAACGCTCCATAAAGTTGCCCTAGAAAAACTTTCCAAAAAGACCTTATTCCTCTCTGTTTTACATATACTTACTTATAAAAACCAAATGCAAAGTGGGTACTGTGTCAAGCAAGGTCAAAAGGGACAGTTTTCTAAGGGTTCGCGTAAAAAGGTATTTATTATTTTGCAGCGAACCTTTTTATTTAGAATGACCCAGTCAAATGTAGATTTATGTTTTCCCTTGTTGTAAAAATGTTTACCTCCAGCGTCTGAATTCCAGGTTCTCTTAAAAACTGAGGATCCATACAGAGCGAATTCTTCGATGTCTATATATTTTGAATTTTTAAATCGTTTATTATTTCTGTTTGTATAACTAATTTGTATTAATAAAATTTATCTTGAATGAGTACAATATACATACATACATAAATTTGACAATTAGAGAGCAGAGAAAAAGTATTGAGACACTTAGAATTTTGTCCTGTAAAAGGTCAAAAACTTGTTCTAGAAATCTTAAATTTGAGTAGGATATTGTAAATATATATAGCGTTCAGGGTCCGGAACCAATAAGACTTGAGTGCATTGTCCACTTCGTATTGAATGTTCTTCTTCACGCCCGCCATTACTGCTCTTTCGGAAGACTTTGCAAGTTCAATGTTATTTTGCTTCCCCCAGAACCGAAATCTTCTTTAAGTTTCGACTGTTTCACGAAGCTGGGAGTATAACTTCTTACATAGAGTCCAAAATGTTTCGATATGGAGAAGATAACGGAAACTTGGAAGGTTTTCATTTTTCAAAATCAAACTCCAATTTGATCACCATGCATTTTGATGTCAGCCAAACCTGAAATTTCTTGGACAATTTCGAATAATACTTTAATTTCTCTTTGGTTTTCACTTGAGACATATATTTGCCATGAAAAAATTCCATTCCCGGAGTTTCTGTCACATTTTTAAGGACGTAGGACTTATCGCCACTAACCAACTTTTTTGGTGAAATTTTGTTGTAACGCTTGGAAAGTGTTGCGTTTACCATTTTTTCTTGACCTTCTGTATGTTTTGCTGCAGATATTTTTTCGTACACTTTGACCCACAATATATGGGCCTTAGTATGGTACAAATAGTTTGTATTAATCTTTGACTTCATGGCCGCATCAGGCATGGACCTGGATGGAAAATTTTCTTAAAAAAATGTAATCGTTTTTGAATTTCGAGGGGTCGATATGATGGTTTTTTCTCATGATGCTTATTTGAAGATGACATTTTCGGATTCTCCATACTTTTTTATGCAGGTCTTAATTCTTGCAGGACCGCATCATTCGGCGTTGAAATGTAGTTAAGTCTTCCACGAGTCTTTGTCACCCAAGTTTTGGTGCTTACGAAAAACTCGTTTCGCGAGTTTGTCGCTTTGAAACGGTGTAGGAAATTTATGTTTTATTTAAAAGTTTTGAAATTTTGGACTTAAGCCGGTGAATATATTTCGAATGCTGCCCAAAAGTTTCAAATTCAAAAAAGTATGTTTGACTACTTTCCCGTCAAAATACAAAAGTATCTCAATACTTTTTCTCTGGTCTCTATGTACATACACATGATACATACATACATACGTGTGTAGTAACGTAAAAATTTGTATTTTTATAAAAGCTGAAATATTCATTATACAATTTATTGAAACTAATTCAACGGTTCTTAATTTCGGAGTATTTTTATCCGTAGACACGAAAAATCTAATTTTTACAAGGATTCTTGTATGGAAATTATAATAGGAAAAATATTTAAAAAATGCTGCTTTTCGACATATTATTTTAAAAAAGTCATCGAAAGTCATTTTATCATCAAAAAATTAAAGGATGGGAGGAAAATAAATCCTATTTGGTTACCAACTAGATATTCTTCCCCTAACAACAAATCCATAATTTCCTAGGAAAATTGATTGTAATTTACAGTCAAAAAATTAGTGTTCTGTCAGAAAACAAAACGTATTTGTGACCCTGATGAGGACAACATTCGTTTTAATAGAAAGCTTGGTCGAGTGTAAATAAAACTATATTTTTTTAGAAATCAAAACCGCTTGAAAAATCTTTTTAAAAAAACTACTTAAGAATTACAGTTTTTAGCATTTGCAGTCCGATTAGGTCTTTCTTCCTTAATTGGAAACTTTTCATCACATGACACTAACTCTGTCACATAGTGCGTGAAAATTGTGTGAAAAGGAAACGCGTCCCTATAAAACCCAGGCACTCCATTCATTCTCGCAGTCTTTGTTCAACCTTTAGCCAACTTACACAGGTATGAGTTGTACTTTCCCTCGTTTTTACCACATAAAATACATAAATATTTTCAGCTTCGGTATTTTTTTCGAAATAAATTTCTGGAAACATATTTAGTACCATGCGTCCCAATAATATCGGAATTACTTTGCTCCTCATAATTCTTGAGCTGATTGCCACCCTGTGTCATTCGAGTGGGGCCGGCTTAACTGCAACAATGAGAAGACCGAAGCATTCTGGGGGATATGAGGTATGTAAATTGTCCTGAGTAGATAATTTGTGTTCTACATAATTTTAAAGAAATCAAAAAAGTTTAATTTTTTAAAATTTATTTTGGCTTTGTGCCATATGCACTAAGTTTGTTGATTTTTTGGAATGAACGATACGTCGTATTAAAATTTTTAAATTAGAGTTTTCCTTAAATACTGCTGATACATATTTAATAAAATAATTTCAGACGCAATTCCAACCTGAATTCGAAGACATTGATGCCACACGACATGGACGAAGCTTAATGTCAGATAAAAAAATAGTTACGAATAGGGTTGCCGCGGGTAACGGGTCGGGTACCCGTTACCCGCATACCCGCACGATTCTTGCGGGTACCCGTTATCTGCGGGTAGCGAGAACTACCCGCACGGGTAACGGGTACTACCGTTTTTATTTAATTTTCTACATAAATCAGTTCACAAACGAAGTTAGTAGCAAGTTAGTCCATTTACCAACAAAAGCGTCAATGTATTATTTCTCCATTCCAAAATTTACCATTTGCCAGCAACTAGCGTTGACAGCGAGTGTGTCTTTTCAGAGGTCACAGAAGCCTACGCCAGTCTAAAATGCTTTTCACTTCCCGAAAATGCGGAGAAATCAAATTTTCTCAACATCATTTGTCTGCTCTCAAATATCGGTTTGACTTGTATTTGTGTCAGAGAGTAGCTGGGCTGCACTTTTTCAATGCCCAGCCCAGCCCGGCCCGAATTTCTTGGGCAGTAAAATGCCCAGCCCGGCCCAGCCCATCTCTTTTGTGCCCGCCCGGCCCATGCCCACGTGGGCTGGGCTGGGCAGGGCATGCCCGAAAAACTTGGGCAGCCCGCTATACTCTGATTTGTGTGTACTTTTGTAAGACTGACGAGATTTTAATTTGTGCTTTGAAGGTAAAAAACCTAAATCCGATTGAAAGTAAAAATTTCATTTGTGGACAATTTTTTCATGAAAACTTCATTTAAATCAAAATTTCAAAAAAACAAACTTAAATTGAACCTTTTTCAAGCTATACAAAGATTCAATCCTGAAGATTCTCAAGCGAATTTATCGCCAAAAATTAGGAATAGCGTGATACTTTCCGCTGAATGGCCACTTTGAAGAAAAATATTAGCGATCTCCACTGGACGAAAACCATGGTGGACTTTGGACTTTGCCCCCAATAGTTTTCGTCAAATGGGGTATTCAACAGTAAGATAAGTGATATGTAATTCCTCATTTTTGGCTTGATTTTTTGATATACTTCAATAAGAAATCCCCGTATAGCTAAAAAAAGGATCCATTGTAAGCTTAAACCTTGGTTGCAAAAACATCTAATGACATCTACCAAATTCTGGCATTCGTTACTTGCATAGCATTACCTCAAATTACTTGTCAGCCCAAATGAACAAATAATTGATTAAATCAAATTTATTCTGAAGGATGGTTACTTCTTAACTTAATTCTCAAAACGGGTAGCGGGTAACGGGAACCCGCACGGGTACCCGTGCGGGTACGGGTAGTGGTGCTGCGGGTAGCGGGTCGGGTAACGGGTAGCATTTTCGCTACCCGCGGCAACCCTAGTTACGAATCTTGATTTGCGGCAAATCCGTGAAATCTCACCATACCCCGAAAACCCAGTCTTATCGCTTCGAGAGCCTAAGTCTTTGAAGGAAGATGTAGCCTCGACGGTTAAAAGGATCATTTCTGAACAATTTGGTGTCAAGATTGGAGAAATTAGAGATAATTGGTCCTTCGTCAACGATTTAGGCGCAGATTCCCTCGATTTTGCCCATCTGATAAGCACCGTTGAGCAAACATTCAATTGCGAAATACCGGACGAAAACTCTGAGAGATTCACTTTGGTTATCCATGTAATCAATTATGTGAAGGGGAGGTGTCTCAGACAGTAAAATTAATAGAATAAATTTGCATAAATTTGTGTTTTCTTGGATTTTCGAAATTGTAATTGTTAAATTACATTTTTAAATTTTTTATTGAATTTTTTATATATCTGATTGGAACAAAAGGTATAAATTGGAGTGTATGTATCTATTTATTAAAGAATTGAATAAATTTTAATAACATTTATAATATAATGTAGTTTAGATGAATCGAGTTTTTAAGTTTTCGTCGGTAAAATCTTTCCAATAAAATCATTCATTCTTGGGTTGGTGGCTGATGGTCGACAAACGAGTTGTCGACACCTCATTGGTCGACAAACAACATGTCGCCAAAACAGCTAGTCGCCAATCTCAACTTGTCGACAGACGACAAGTCGACGCAGTACATCGGTCGACATGGCATATTGGTCGCCAATCTTAACTGGTCGACAATAAATTGGTCGACGCCAATTAAAAGTTGTAAGAAATACTTGCAAGGGAAGTTGTATATGCAAACACTTGATTTGGTACCAATTATCCAGAAATTTAAAAATATTACACTTTTTAAGCTAAACGAATTAGCTTTGCGACCAGACTTAGGATTAGTAAGCATGTGTCGTTTTCCACGACGAGAGGTAATTAAAGGTGAGGAGAATGGTTGGTCAAATGATGAGGATGGCTTAGATGGTGCCGGATCAGAATCAGGCAACAAAATAATTTGTGTTAAAGCTTCCTGAAATTCAGGCTGGTCACCTCCTTTTGTGCCACGTGCAGATTTTCGCTGGCATTTACAATTCGTCCCATTCATGTTATAGGCTACTCCAGTTAAAAAAGTCAGAAAATCCTATCCTTATCCATTATCACAGAGTCCATTATCCATTACCAAAGGTATTACGATTACGACTTCATCAGGTGTAATCCCGGGTATCGTCATCAGTTGCCCATAAAGTTTAGTCATTATGTCAAAGGTTCCATCCACTGCCCAAATGCATAAGGATAGTTCAATTTTATGGGTTAATTATGTCATAATTAATTTATCACATCAATTGGATACATCGATTTTACCTTGTTGACCATTTTTAAAGGGGGCAAGTGCTCATTCAAAGCTTCTTCCTTTAGTCTTGCGTGAGCCTCTTCAAGCTTAATTCTGTACGCTTATGTACATATTAATTCCGTGTAAATTATTGGGAACTCTCTTTGATAGATTTTGCGTAAAAATGTCGTTTTGTTTGTTAAAAAATTGCTCCACGGCCAAAATATCCTCATCTGTTAACAGAATCCACTTCACTTTTTTTGGAGCGCACCGCCTCAGGGGGGCCCTTCATTTCTTAAATCTAGTTTTCCTTTGGAGGATAATCATCAGATGGCAAGATCCACGTTTCGAAGCCTGAAGTCCAAGGTTCAGTTTGAGCACTCGTTGGATAATCTGCAGCGACACTGTCAGCTGTAATGCTAGTTTCCGGTGAAATTCCGTAATTTTTTTCGGATTCTACCCTTCAGCGCCTTGCCAATGGGTGTGGTCGTTTGAAGTTTTAAAAAAATACTTCTTCGACTGTTCTTAGTCAACCCAATCCCAGTGAACATTTTTGTGATCCTCTGGACTAAATTAAAGTTCATCTTCGATTTCTGTAGTAGTTTTCAAATTGAGTATTTCTCCTCCGAATTTTTAGGTGGAAAATTTTTGTCTCCTGCGTCCTTTCACGATTTTCCCTACCGATATGCGTTGCAAGTAGTTGAAAGTGAAATTATATTTCTTATAGAAAATCGCACGACGAATCCAATGCACTTATTAGATTTTTATTATCTCCAGCGGTTTTGAAGTAAAGAGCTACTTTCAGCTTGCCTGGGCCTAGTAGGTAAGAAGACATACTCCTAGCTTTGTGAAACAGTCGAAACTTAAAGAAAATTTTGGTTACGGAGGGAGAAAATTAACAATGAAGTTGCAAAGTCTTCCGTAAAAGCACAAATGGCGGGCGCGACGAAAAAGACTAAATACGAAGTGGGTAATGTATTAATGTCTCGTTTCTTCGCGGATCCCTAGCGTCAGTAATGTTTACAACATCCTACAAAAAATTGAAATTTCAAAAAATCATTTTTGACCATTTTGAGGCCGAATTACCTAGTGTCCTGATACTTTGTCTCTGCTCTCTACATATTTTGTCGACAAATTGAAATTGGCGACCAATATGACATGTCGACCGACCTACTGGGCCGACCAGTCTTCTGTCGACAAGATGAGATTGGCGACTAGTTGGTTTGGCGACATGTTGTTTGTCGACCAATGAGGTGTCGACAACTCGTTTGTCGACCATCAATCCGGAACCCATACCGTTAATTACTGAATAAATATATCTGCTCAGGATATTTATTGCGTACGAACAAAGGTTGACGGGAGTACATACACTTAATGCCAAGATGTGAGAAACAAGAATTATCTAGGTAAAGATGAGGACAAATTAAAGCAAATAGTCACCTTATTTAAATGCGTAGTTACATAGAGGGGTAAGAAAAAGTATTGAGACACTTGGATATTTTGTCCCGTAAAAGGTCAAGAAATAATTCCAAAAGTCTCAAATTTTGGTACAATATTATAAATATATCTGACAACAAAGAAGACAAAAGTATGTTGTCCATCTCATATTTAACGTTTTTCATCACGTCCGTCATTACTGTTTTTTTGGAAGACTTTGCAACTTCAATGCTAATTTTCTGCCCCAGGAACCAAAACTTTTTTGAATCATCGACTGTTTCCCAAAGCTGGGAGTATTCCTTCTTACACATAGCCGACATTTTTTTATTGGTCGAAGATGAGGGATGTATATAGGGTTTCCATTTTTCGACGTCAAACCGAATTTTTTTTTCGATTCTCCCTTGATAGTTGTTCGATTGTGGATTAGTCCAAGTTCGGTCCGAAAAATTACATTTTATATTTTTTGATACTCATTGATGAAAGGAATCAGGCGGTCTATCATACATTTCCGAAAACAAACCTGTGCGTCCCCACAGCCCTTCTGAAATGGGGGGTCCGAAACATGCCCAAATTGACGGAACGCCAGCCAAACCTGAGATTTTTTGGGATATTTCGAAAAACATTTTAATTTCTCTTCAGTTTTCAGTTGGGAGATATATTTCCCATAAGAAAATTGCCCTCCTGGAGTTTGTGCCACGTTTTTAAGAACGTATGATTAATCGTCAGTGACCAACTTTTTTGGTGAGATTTTGTTGTAAAGCTTGGGAGGTCGTGCGATTACTATTTTTTCTTCAGTTCCCGTATGTTTTGCTGGAGATTTCTTTGCATATGTTTTAACCCCCATTTTATGGGCCTTAATATGATACAAGTAGTTTGGATTTATCTTTGACTTCATGGCGGCATCAGGCACCGACGTGG